TTAAAATGCCACATAACAAGCATTAAGTATTAGATGTCAGACAACCATACAAAATTCTGCGAACAAATTAAAACAAAAAGTATGAAGAAGAAATAGGTTTTCAGTAACTTATCATCAGCTATCTTTTGGGCTTACTATTGCTACTTCTAGTGCAAATAATTTATTATGAGCAAACTAATCAACTGAAATTAAAAGGCTAACATAAGTGCAAACTTCACAATTAGGTTATCAAGGTTTCAAAATATATACCAACTTTGATACTTTTCTGGACCATAAGAGATCTGTTGAGACATCTTTATGCACTAACCACTAGAATGTCTCAACAGATCTCTCTGTCTCCCCCTTTCTCTCTCGATATCTCTCCCTCCCCTCCTCCTCCATCTATTATATTTACCTAAAATTACCATGCATGTTAACTACTATTTACCTTTTAATTAAGAAAATGTTATAATTGAAGAAGTTTCTAGATTAACATATGCAAGCTGCAAAACTGGGTTACCTTGTTCAGATAATTCATCTGCATGAGGCAACACATTACTACGACAAGTATGAAAATCCAAGTCTGGACATAGACAAATTGATTCATCCCCGAAAAAGTTAGCTTTAAAGCAATGCCCACTGCTTTTACACTCATAACCTGCACAGACAGAAAAAAGAAGAGATAACACTAATGGAAGCAAAAAAAAAAGAACTTGTACATTTTGTGGTGTGCCAAAGTACCGTCAAGGAACCCATGAGTGAGCAAATTCCAACATATATCACCATATGTGTTTGACCATAACGAGGAACTAGCTGGACAATGAAGAAAATGACCAAGAACAGGACCACACAAGCATAAGAAATAAAGCCTGAAGGTAAGAAATTACTTTATTAGTTTGCAGAATGTCCCAAGATTTGCAAAGTGCAGACGTTTTTTAATCAGAAGAAGTATATCAAGCTTCATGTTGAAAATTCATAAAATGCATGTACCATATGAGCAAATCTGGATGAACATGAAAACATTAAGAAAACCACCATGACAAAAAGCATCTGGATCGGCCTTACCTGGTTCAGTGGCAAGGTACCACACTTCCTTAACTGACTCAATGTCTTTTTCTATTGGAGCATGTAAAACAATACTGGTAGAACCCACAACACAAAGAACACATCCAAGGACACCAAATATGTGCAGTTTCTCATTCAACATGAAATGAGCCAGCACTGCACTGTAAAGGATAGCTTTGGTTAGAAATACTTTAGATTGGCTTATAAAAGTTAATTTCAGGACTGACACAGTTTTCGCCATACCTGACAATTATACTAAGTGCTCCAAGAGGAGTCACAAGAATTGCGGGAGCAAATGCATAGGCAGCAAAGTTAGCTGCCTCACCAAGTATCACTGGAGGCAGTAATTGTTAACAGCAATAAATCACCAGAGTTGTCAGAATGCAGGAGGCAATAAATTGTTTACAGAAATGAATCACCAAAATTGTCAGAGTACAAGTAAAAGTTGATACAATGTAAAGTGCATCATTGACCAATACAGTATGCTGGGCAACAGTGTAAAATTACAGTTGTGTGGTGGATTAGAAGACAAAATACAAACATATTTGCATCTGTGGTTTCAAGTGAAAAGAGATAAACAAAACTTTCCCTCTTTTCTAAGTTATAAGTGCTCTTATGTGATCAAATCAAAGAGAACTACTCACACAAAATTCAAGCATAAATAGAATTGATCTAAGCAAAATAGTAGTTACATGCTGTTAAGTCCTGTTTCTAACCAATATAAACCCATTTAGTTGCAAATTATCAAGTTTGCTAAGTGAAGAATATAAAAGAGTTATTATATGAAGGAAAAAATTCATATAATTATGCCCATCAAATTATCTGTTTTAGGTTCAAAGGGTTAGCATATATTTTTAAATGATAAATGGTGAGGGTGAGCTTTGGTGCCATGGTTAGGTTACTTATTATGTGAGTGATAATAATTCAAGTCATCAGACAGCCTCTTTGCTTGCAAGGTTAGGCTGCATAAATTAGTCTCCCCAAACTCATTGGTAGGAGACTTAATGTTAGGCCACCCAAAATGACTAGTATGTTCCTTCTTAGGTTCAACAGGTGTAGCATTCCTCATGAAGCAAATAATCAACCAAAATTATCAATTGTGTTCAATATGCAGGTGACACTATGATTTGAATTTGAATTTTCTTGAAATATGTTCTTTTTCTTGTCCGTGTGAAAGACCGTTATTCTCAAAGTTAAGCTTGAGGTTGAATCTCCACATGGAATAAAAACATTTCTATAAGTTGACTTCAAATACTCTTATTGTCTCTTTTCCATAACTAGTTTGCCACAATTGTAAATGCAAAACATAGCCAGATACAACCACAGATAGACAAAGCTACTTGGTGCCAAAAATTCCAAATTGTCAAAGTTGATTAAGCAAACTATTCAATGATAAGCACTCGAGTATGGTACCTAGAAATTTCTTGACGGGGTTAACTTCTCATTTTCCAGTATTGTGAAAACATACCCTTCATTAACACTTATCTTGGTTAAGACCGAAGATGATAATAGATTACGGAACAAGTGATCCTCACAAAAAATATTTGAATTCTGGCCTAAATTAAGAACCAAATATATCTTAGACATAATCGGTTTGTTTCTAGCCAATTAGGAATTGTCTGATTCTACATACCAACACCATTAACAAATTGTTCATTTATTCAAGTGTGGATTATGGAATTTCTAGAAGTGAATCCTTGTTTATCCACAATTAAAGCAGGAAATTTGATGGCAGAGAAATTCTTTGCAACTGTTGTGCATGCAAGATCAAGTGAAAGTTTAACAATTGTTACAATGCTGTCATATATTAAGATTGGTCAGGTCTAGGAACACTCGGATACTCCTTCAGATAACAAATGGGAAAATTGAACATGGTACTTACTGGTCAGCATTCCAGCCCACCATAGAGGCTCATACAAGTATGAGAAACCTCCCGATCCTGAAATGTTGAAAGGAAAACATAAAAAGCAATTACAAGTTATGGAAAATATTACAACTCGTATGCAAACTAAGAGACAATGTCTTGACAATGAAGTTTGATTCTGTAAGACACAGGGTACCATTCCCGGTATACCAAAAATAGCATATTTAGGGTAAATTCTGAAAAGCTTTCGTGATCAAATCAACAGCAATAAAACAGAAACAAAGACTAATAATTCTCTATGAAGAAAGGCAAGACCTGCACTGACTCCATAAGCCCCTGCTCTTTTCAGCCCCTTCTTCTTCACGATGAAGCTCGATCCGATGAAAATACTGGACGACATGGCCAACACGAGCCCCCGAATGTTATCCACCGACACCCCCATCCCCGAACCCTCAGATCTTCGAATATAAATCTATAAATCCATCAAAACCAATCCTCATGTAAAATTCAACATAAAAAATAACAAAATGAACCAAAAAGAGGCATCTTTCTCTATGAATCCAAGAAACTCCGATTTTTCCAACCAAAACCGCGATCGGCACCCACCAAAACGATCGGAACGGGGCGAGCGATCCGAAGGTAATGGAGAACTGGGGGGAGCTCATGGGGATGGAAGGGGAGGAGGGGGGTGGGGGGAGGCGCAACAGAGCGCAACGGGGCAATTCTGCCGATGGCTCTCTTGGGGTCCCCAAGCCAAAACAGGGTTCGTCCCCGTCATTTAAGCGCTCGCCTCTCCGACTCCCGCGCTAAGGCTCGTTCGAGTTGCGCGTCTGCGTCTCCCTACATCGGAACGCCCCTTGTGATGCTCAAAGTCTAACCCTTGGATTTAGGATCGACGGGTTTTATACGGTCAAAAGGGACTCAACAACGGTACGACAGCGATGATATAAAAGAAGGAATGTTTGCATGTATATTCTTGCAAATGATGGAAATAGCATTTTCTCTCCACTAGGTTTCATTATTGCACATATATAATTTTGTACATATATCCCTTCAAATATTTGAAATGTCCAAATATGGCATTTCAATTGGCATCCGATAACTCTTATTACTCATTTTTATTATTGAATTTTTTAAATATATTACTTTAAATTTCCTTTATTACTTTTTCATAATTACCTGAACCCTAATGTTTTCAGTATTATTTTAAATGAATATTAACATACCGTCGATCTTATTTCATTTTCGAATTGATTCATGTTTTTCATTTCATGACTTAAGTAATGATGCAACTCTTGTCATGTTCGTCGTCTAATCTTTCCTCAAGTCGTACAGAGAAAGATGTTCGTAGGGAGACATCGTGTAGACGATCAAATTATTATTATTATTATTATTATTTAATCTCATCCTCTAAATTGAATTTGGACTTTGGATGTTCTTTAATTTCGATAAACATAGGTATTCCAATTGAATATTTTCTAGTTTGCAGTAGGAATCTAATTATCGTAGGAATCCGTGTCAATTCACCCCACTTAAAGCAGAGTTTAAGCATAAATATAATAGGAAAGGATGTAATCCAAATAGAAGTTGGATTGGATTTGAGTTCGAGTTCTTAGTCCATGTGCAGACACGTGCTCTCTCACGTGCCCTGAACAGTTTTGGTGCAGCGCCCCTCGTCGTTCATGTACCCACGAACCGTTACTTCAACTTGACACCCATCGCATTGATGACCGATCCTTAGCGGGCCCCACCCCTCATGCCCCCCATCCCTCATTCCTCAGACGGTAGGCGACCGTCGCCGGCACTCTTTACGGGGCCCACCGGGAATCCTACTCCGCATCACCTTCTCCCTCGTATGATCTCGTCGGATCACCGTTATTTCTTCTCGAGGGCAGTACAAATGCGCTTTACGATCCGTGCAGATTGACCTTGGGAACGCTAGCTCACGGCCGTATATATGAAAATTCAATAGGATTATACGGCTTACTCGGACAGCCACCCCCATTCCAATTGGAGCCAACAAGTGGGTTCCAGTCCACTTTATATATTTATTGAAAGAGGGAAGCGCGGATATTAAGAAAGGATTGGCGGATTGTATGCGCACATCCCGAGGAGGAACTTCCATCGTTGGTGCCTTTGTTTCCTTGTGATCTGTCTCCTTCGCGCTACCCTTTCTCGCTCGGCCACCGGCGAGCGGGATGGGGGCGCTCGACGCTGGCTGCTGCTTCGAGGACGAGCTCGATGACGGGTACTTGGAGGTGGCAGCGGAAGAGATCGGGTGCGAATCTGGGGTGGGCTCCGGGTCCGACTCCGCCCGGGCGATCGAGGACGCCGTGCGAGTGTTGCTGCAAGGCCTCGGGGAGGACCACGAGCGGGAGGGGCTCCGCAGGACGCCCCATCGCGTCGCCAAGGCGTTCCGGGAAGGAACCAGAGGTGGGTGCTTACTTCCGTAGATCGTTTTCTTAGATTTGCCGGTTGGCCCTAGGTGCTCGGTCCCTTGGGATCCAAACGTGATCTTTGCTTCGTTCGTTGCTTAAAGATGAGTTTTTTTGGCAGATCCTCGTGGTTTCCTGGCTCTTGACCACGCCTTTCCTTTTCCTTTGTCATCGCGCTCTGTTTGTATTTTCTTGGTGTCGAAAAGGGAGACCTTTTGCTTCTTTCCTTTGGTTGATAAAACGGAACTTTTAGCTTTAAATCGATGTCGATAAGCCGGCATTTTTATGTTAAACTTAGTCTCTTTCACCTGGCGATTGCGTCACTGCTAAAACTTTCCTTGTAGGTTGAACTATAATCGTTCATTGTTCGACAGTCTCGGTGCCTGTTTCCGCAAAAAGGAAGGGGTTTGCAAGAGTTTCTTTCATCCGTAGGAAGAATATATTTCACTGTTGTTGCTTCCTTTTTTTAGCCATAGATTCGATCCTTTTACAGCAGCAGTTGAACTTTAGCTATGTTGAATCTTGATCTTGGGTTTGCCTCTATCTTTGCTCATTGTAGGCCTCCAAGTTATTATTGTCAGCAATCCTCACCTGTTTGCTAATCCGAGTGATGTGGTTTGTTAATAATGATATGGTCTTTCTATAAATCAGTTAATGCTATCTTTGCAATACTAAACATGCTTATTGTTCGATGACGATATGCTTCTGTTTTCTAAATATTATATATTTTTTGTTTGCTTATTTTATAATTATTCTTATTAATGTTTTTCCATGTCAGTTACTGCTTGTTAGTTTCTTTGCTACATATCTGCTAAATAGATCTTTGAGCTGGTGTTGTTAGTCCTTATATTCCTAATAAATTTCTTTGATTCAGATGATGGTACTTGCTGTTGATCTTACATTTGGCTAGTCAAAGTTTCTTTTCTATTTGAATGTCTCAAGATATAAAAGTATTGTTTTCTTTAAACTTGTTCTGCCAGTAAATTCTCAACGAGTATCAACCTTCTGTAATTCATAGATAGTAGCTGTTCACGAGTTATCACATTCTAGGTACTCAAACAGGGGATTGTGAGAATGAGTTTTAGTTTTTAAAGCAAATTTTACCCAGAAAAGGGATTTTTTATACGAATGAGTGTGTTCCTATCAATGTTCACCTCTCAGTTGCACCATTTTTAGATAATTTTTCCCCACAGCTCTAACATGTCAAGACTCAAAGAGGATTCTAAATGAGTTTGTGTTCAAATCAAATTTATCCTCTCATTATCACCATTTTTGGATACTTTTATTTCCTTACAACTCTAGCAAGTAAAGATTTAGAAAGAATTCACTTTAATTGGTAGAAATTTTAAATCATTTCAACTCTTGATTCAATCTGTTGTTTTCTGTCTTAGGTTACAAACAGAAAGTAAAGGACATTGTTCAAGGTGCCTTGTTTCCCGAAGCTGGTTTGGACCCTGTTATTGGTCATGCAGGAGGAGCCGGTGGGCTGGTGGTTGTTCGTGACATCAACTTATTTTCATACTGTGAATCTTGTTTGCTTCCGTTCAGTATCCAGTGCCATGTTGGTTATGTGCCGTTAGGACAACGAGTTGTGGGTCTAAGCAAACTATCCCGAGTTGCAGATGTATTCGCAAGGAGGCTTCAAGACCCACAAAGACTGGCAAATGAAATTTGTTCAGCACTACAGAGTAGCATCAAACCTGCTGGAGTGGCTGTTGCTCTTCAATGTTGGCACATACAATTTCCCGAAGCCCTCGAGTGTACTTCCAATCTGCAGCACCTATCCAAATTGGATAGGCAAGGGTGGGTAAAAGTTTCAGCTTCTTCAACTTCTGGAGTTTTTACAGAAGAAGAAAGCTCTGTGTGGGATGACTTCTTGGCACTTCTGAAGCTAAGAGGTGTAGACATCGAAGCAGGAGATATGAATCGTTCTCATGTTCCATCTTGGTGTCCAGTACAGTCTCTGGAGACACCTTTGTGCAATGGCCATTGCACAAAGAGCTCTAAAGTTGGTAAGAATTCTTCCAAGACACATGCTGCAATGGTGGCTGCAGTAGCTTCAATTCTCCACTCCCTTGGTGAAGATCCATTGCGGAAAGAACTTGTCGGCACCCCATACCGTTATGTGCAGTGGCTAATGAATTTTAAGAGTTCTAACTTGGACCTAAGGTTAAATGGTATTATTCTTAGGGAAGTGAGCTCCTCTAGTGTGACAGATGGAAATGTTACTCAGTTGAATGAGATTCTGTCTGTGTTGAACATTCCCTTTTGCTCGCAGTGCGAGCACCATCTCCTGCCATTCCATGGTGTTGTGCACATAGGGTACTTGGATAAACAAGAAGGTAAATGTATTGAGGGATCCATTTTGCGATCAATGGTCCATTCCTTTGCTTGCAAGCTCCAAGTTCAAGAGAGATTAACTAGGACTATAGCTGAAGCAGTTTATTCTGTTTTCAACAGTGGAGCAATGGTTGTCGTGGAAGCTCGCCATATCTGCATGATATCAAGAGGGATTGAGAAAGTAGGAAGCAACACAGCGACAATTGCTGTATTGGGTCAATTTTCTACTGATCCAATAGTCAAGCATTTGTTCTTGCAGACAATTGCCAATAGTACTTAGTGGTGACTTGTCTGATAATTTCTGAAAGATTTGATCCGATTATATCTGATTCTACATTTTTTTTCCTGTTAATGCTGAGATTTTACATGACAGGAGGTAGTATTTAGTTGCCAAGAAATCCTATAGTTTTACCACTTCCATGATTTACTGTTCAGTATCCAGAAAATACATCAATCATGTGGTTGTAGGAATAATACAGCATCAAATTGGAGAAATGACTTGTATTTACATTATCAAATGCAGTCTGCCTACTGATGAAGAATAATCTTATAGAAATTGTTCTTTATCCATTTATTAATCTTGCATATACACTCATTCAGTGTTTGCAGATGGTAATATTTACTCAAGGCATGGGGTTCATCAATATATATTTTACTTTTATTTTGATAATTGTGGTTTAATACTTTAGGGTTAAAACATGCTATACAATTTGTTTGATCTACATTTTACTGCAATTGGTGGTCATTCTTTTCATTTTCTTCTATCTTTTTGGATAGACTTTTGTGTTTTTCTGCTTTGGTTATTTTTAAAGAAGAACTTTCAGCTATAAACTTGACTTCTTTATGTTAACCTCAGCTTGTTTAGCTGCTTGCTAAAATTTTGTGCTCTGTTCTGCTAAGCTGAAATGTTTTGTTTCACCTGCCTTGCTTTAACTCTTGCCAAAAAAAGGGTTTTCGTGCCCTTCTCCACAAATGCAAAAGAAGAAAGAGGAAAAATTGAATTGCACTAATGATAAACGAAAGATTTGAGAGCCAAAAGTAATAATAATTATTATCTTAGTCAATAATAAGTATCATCTTAGGCAATGAGTATCAAATATGTATCATCTTAGGCAATAATAAATATGATTTCTAGAAAGTTCTAGGTAAAACTTTCATGGGTCATGTCAAGGCTCCAAGATCAAATTCCGAAATCAAATTACATTATCATCATTTATCCTTTAAAAAAATTTATAATTTTTAATTAAATAAAAAATCATTACAAAAGTAACACCACTTGTAGAATATAATAATAAATGATTTTTATAAACATAAGTTGTGATAAATTTATTTATTTATTTATTTTTGTGATCCCAAGTCTCTCTATAAATACCATAAAAACAAATCATAACTACGAACATGGATAATATTAAATGCATTTTCTATTCAGATAAAGAAAATTTGTCACAACATTAACACCACATGTGGCGTACATATATTACTTGGGCAACAGAAAATCTAATTTAATAATCAAAGAACACCACAAGAGTAATTCTACTTTGTAAATAATAATAATTATAAATTTATGAAAAAAATATCTAACTTTGAAAAAATTTTAGATAACCCCCCAACCTTAAGAAATTCTTACATAGCATCTTTTTAAAATGATTATTCTATCCTTATCGACCATCGGACTCTGTCTAGCCCCTAGTTATCCCTTAATCCTGATGGTTGCCCCCCTTCGCTTCCCCTTGAATAACCTCTTGTCACTATGGCACAGGCATAGCTTTGCATGAAAGTGACTAGCAACAAAGGTCTCACCCTTAATGAACCTTAGCAACCGTCGCCCCTTCCCACTACTTCATAGGATTTGTCATTCATAACTCTCATAAGAGGAAGAAGGTGATAATTGCTCTCATACTCCTTTTCTCGTATAAGGATTATAGGTGAAGGACCCTACAAAATAGAGGGGAGAGAAAGCAGGGGCTTGACGAGGACTTAAAGACAATGATGAAGGTAACGCAAGATGATAATATAGGGAGGATGAGGTGACGATGGGTTTGATAAAAGCATGGGTAAAATAATTTTTTCACGTGACTACCAGCGTTTTATGAAAATTTTTCAAAGTTACGATGCTCGATAGGAAATTATCAAAATTAAAGATTTTTAAAATTCATTATATATATATACATATATATACATATATATATGTATATATACATATATATACATATATACATATATGTATATATACATATATACATATATACATATATGTATATATACATATATACATATATGTATATATACATATATGTATATATACATATATACATATATGTATATATACATATA